CGGAGCTCTCCTGCAAATGCACTTCTTTTTTTTTTAATCAAAGAGCAATAGAAGGCCACAAGCCTTTAATCATCCCTCCCTTTGTCTTCGCAGATAATGGGATCTGCCACGGTGTTGTAGTGAGGTTTAATGCAGTAACACATTTTTAAATGCTGCCAGCACTCAGTGCTGCAGCACAATATTCCCCTTACTGTGAAGGAGGAGGCCAACGTCATGGGGACATCTCGGCCTCTCTGCTCACCCTAAAAACGAGGAGGGGCAGATGTGGCTTTTCCCAAAGACATCAGCTGGTCTGAAAAAAGCTGCACCCTCTCCCTGCACACCTGCTCCTCCTGCACTGCTATTTTTACACTCCTAGCAAGAGCACTAAGCCAAATGGATCTCAGGACGGCTATGAGACACAAGCAGGTGCAGGACACAGCTCATAATGTCCATCGAGCAGAGGTCCCACTTTTCTCAAGGCCAACAGATGAGGAGAAGGATAGAATCTTCAGCAGGGTCTGTTGTGGCAGGACAAGAGGAAATGGTTTAAAACTATAAGAGGAGATTTAGACTGGATATAAGGATGAGGTTTTTTTACAGTAAGGGCAGTGAGGCATTGGCACAGGTTGCACAGAAAGGCTGTGGTGCCCCATCCCTGCAGACAGCCAAGGTCAGGCTGGATGGGCTGTGAGCACTGATGGAGCTGTGGGTGTCCCTGTTCAGTGCAGGGAGTGGGACAGATGGCCTTTAAGTGTCCCTTCCAACTCAGTTCTGCAAATCTGTGTTGGACCCCCAGCACCTTCACAGCAGCCATCCAGACACCAGTACCCCAGTACCTAGCTGCAGCAGGACAACACAATCCCAGGATCCCCCTTTCCTTTTTCCATTATTTTTTTTCACTCCTATTGCAAAATGACAAAATCTGGGCAATGCCCAGGAGTGCCCCATCACTCAACCAGCTTTCCTTCGGCTTTGTGTGATGGTGGAAGGGATGCACAAGAAATCAGAGCTGCAAATGTCCTCAAGCACAGAATCATTCAGGCTGGAAAAGACCACTAAGACCACCCAGTCCAACCCCAGCCACCCCACCATGCCCACTGTGTCCCTCAATGCCACATCTCCACACTTGTGGAACACCTCCATGGACGGTGACCCCACCACCTCCCTGGGCAGCTGTGCCACTGCATCACCATTCTTTCAGAGAATGAAAAGAGAAGAAATGTTTCCTAACATCCAGTCTCAACCTCCCCTGGTGCAATGTGAGGCCACTGCCTCTTGTTCTCTGTCTTTTATTTGGGAGCAGAGGCCAACCCCCACCTCATCACAGCCTCCTTTCAGGAGCAATGAGGTCTCCCCTGAGATCCTCTGCTCTAGACTGACCCATCCCAGCCCCTCAGCTGCTCACCATAACACTTCTGCTCCAGACACTTCACAGCTTTATTGCCCTTCTCTGCGCACGTTCCAGGGCCTCAATGTCTTCTTGCAGTGGGGGGCAAAATGAGGGCTGAACAAAATGAGGGCTGAATTGAATAAATTTTCCAGCATACCTGAGTATTGCCTCCATGTCGTGCTGCACTGGAGTTTTGCCTAATGATAACAATATCATTTGATGATAAAGTGACCTCTCAGGCTACGCTACCTTTTCCAATTGCACTATTTTCTCAATTTTTTTCCCCATGTTGTGGACCCAGCTGATGGAACACCACCTTCACCCACGGTTTTCCAACCTGCTCAGTGTTCCCAGCATGGCATAAGGCCATCTGTTGGCTCTGCAAGCTGTGTGCTTGTACACACCAACAATATTAACCTCAGCGATGCCCAAGGAGGCTGTGGATGCCCCATCCCTGCAGGCATTCAAGGCCAGGCTGGATGTGGCTCTGGGCAGCCTGGGTTGCTGGTTGGCGACCCTGCACATAGCAGGGGGTTGGAACCAGATGATCATTGTGGTTCTTTTCAATCCAGGCCATTCTATGAATCCATCATTCTATAATTTGCTGTGCAGTGTAAATCCCATAGGGGAGAAGCAGAAAGCAAGCAGGCTCTTCTCCAATGGAAGTTGGGAGCTTTATTTGTACAGGCATAGGAATCTCGGCAGCATAGTCTGAATTCCTGCTGAGATGAGCTAATCTGGGGAAGTCTGCAAGGTTTGCTTGGCTGGGGAGCAGTGGCTCTGGGGGCTGCTCTGAGCAGGTTTCTGTGGTCTGTTTCTGGAGAGCTGGGGATGTGTTTTTAAAGGGATAAAACACTCGTGATGTCACCTCAGCTCAGAAACTGTGGTGCAGATTGCAGGGAGGTTTGATCCAATCCAAAGGCTTGGAGATGAAGGACTGTTTTTTTTAGGGCACACCAGTTCTGCTTATGCAGGCTGTGATCCAGAACAGCCCATCACCAAAGGATCCTCCCCATGAGCAGAGCTGGGAGTGCCTCTTAGTGTAGGAACAGAGGCTTTTGGACACCCCAGAACTGGGGTCCCCCTTCTCCTTGCAAACCCAAGGCTGAGCCCCACCCCCATGCTCTGCACTTGGGGAACAGGTCTGGGTCAAGAGGGGAAGATGCCCAAAAATAGACATTGTCACCCTCAATTGCACCGGAATCCCAAGCCTTATTAAAAATATATATAGAATTGTAGAATCACAGAATCATTAAGGTTGGAAAAGACATCTGAGATCATCCACTCCAACCATCATCCCTCCCCACTATGCTAAAATACATCCCTCCATGCCACAACACGGTTTTTATGGCTTTTGAATAACTCGGTATTTCAGTTTTCCAGCTTTAAAATGGTCAACCTTTGGGATAGGGTGCTTTGTTGTTTTTTGTTTGTTTGTTTTTTGTCTTTCCATCCATCCCAACAACAAAGAAACCTTCTGCACTACCACTCAATCTCACCGGACCTTGCATCCCCACACCACCACTTTTCTCCATCACTCACACGAGAGCACTCCGCATGGCTCTGGCCTTTGGCAATGCCCTGAACACGGAGCTCCCAGCCTGTGCCCGGAGCTGTGGAGACGTCGGGGCAGTCGGGGCCCTGACCCCAGCGCCGGGGAGTCTGGAGCAGAGCCGACCCCCCCCCCCCTTGCCTCCCCCCGGCCACTCCCAGCCATCAGCCCACACCTCATCAATAGGGGCTGACAGCCCCAGCACCACCCCAGCCCAACCAGCACTGCACAGTGCAGTGTGGGTCAGGGTGAAGGCAGCCCCATAAGTGTGGGGTGCAGGCGGCCCCCGTGGGTCTGTGATGGAGAAAGAGACCCATAATTGGGTGTTAAGAGGGGGGGGGGGGCACAAAGGCAGATGTCGAGAGATGGGTAGGGGTGTATTGGGAGGGGTGCATTGGGAGATAGACCAAGTAGAGAGAGACAGACACATGGGTAGGTATATAGAGATAAATAAATGGGAGTTTGGGGTAGTAGGCACCACAGGGATAACTGCAGTGTTATAGACACGTGGTTAGATGGCCATGCAATACATGGGTAGATGGATAGGTGGATAAATGGATAGAGGGATAGAAGTATAGAGCAATAGAGGGATGGGAGGATAGAGGGATATAAAGAGCAAATGTGTAAATGAGTAGTTGTCTAGATGACTGTACAACGTTTAGATGTGTGGATAGATGAGAGTGAAAAACTAGGTGGCTGTATAACTCATAGCTATAAGGCTGTATGGCTTAGGGAGTAAATGGGTAGGTGAGTAGTGAGTATATAGCTGTATGGCTATAGGACTCCATGGCTAAATGGGCAAATAAACAGGCAGATGGCTAGATGTCTGTACAGTATACATCTATAGGGCTACGTGGCCAAATGGGTAGATGAGTAGATGGTTAGATGGCTGCATATTGCATATATGTATGGCTATAGGACTATAGGACTACATGAATAAATGGGTATAGCTGTATAGCACGTGTTTATAGGGCTACATGGGCAAGCAGATGAGTAGTGTACAATATATGGCCATAGGACTATATGGCTCAATGAGCAGATTGGTAGAAGAGTAGATGGCTGTTCAATGTATGTCTGTATGGCTCCGTGGATAAATGGGTAAATAGGCAGAGAAGTAGGTGGCTGTGTGATATATGGCTATATGGCCATATGGAAATACAGATAGCTCAAACGGCAGGCTGTGATGCAGGCATATATGGGAACATCCCGTGTACCCCATTTCTCCATAAGTCTGGATCCTGGTGCTCCTCAAAGCACTGCTCAGCATCGCTCCCCTCCTCTGTCCTCCTTCATCACAGCCCCATCTCATTTGCGTTTTATTTCCCACGGAGAAGAAAGAAAGAAAGAAAGAAAAGAAAAAAGGAAAGAAGAGCAATAATGTAATATTTAGGGGCTGAGGAGAAGGGTAAAAACGATATAAAAACACCCCTGAGCCATCGCACTCTTTGGACATCCCTAGCGGCAGTACCTGGCCTGTAAGGGGGGGTAGCGCGGGGTGGGGGGGGACGTTTTAAGACCGCTGCCGGCCCGTAAACAGATGTGAGGTTTGTTTAGGAAAGCGGCTCTAGAGGTGCGACGAGCGATGCGATAAAGCGGGGGGCCGAACGGGGCTCCTTCCAGCTCTGACGCCGCGCTGCACACGCACTGCTGGGGGGCGCGGGGGGAGCGCGGTGCTTTCCTTCCCCCAAACCCCGCAGCCTTTGGAGAGGCGGATTCAGCCCTAAATTTGACAGCGGGGTTCGGTGCTCTGGGGGTTCCCCTTTTGCTCCAGTGCCCCCGGAGGGGCGGCGGGGACGGGGGTTGGGGGGAGACACACAAAGAGCTGCTGGGCAGGGGATCGGCAGCTCGCAACCTCCGGTCCCAAATACCCAGCAAGACGGAGGGAGGCGGCTCCTGGAGCCGCGGTGCCGCCCCGAGACGTCTCCGTGCTCGCAGGGCTCCTCCCGCCCGGCCCGATCGTGCCCCAAACCCGGTGGCAGCCAGGCCAGCCCCCCCTCCCCAATCCCCTTTTCCTCGATACCCCCCGTTCCGCACCCCACGGCTGCTCCGCACCAGCGCCGTGCAAAGCCCCAAGCTGCCGCTCCCCGGCCCTATAAACTAGAAACCTACAGCTCTACGAACATACGGACATATAACCCTACAGCTCTACAACCCTATAACCCTATAGATCTATAACCCTATAGCTCTGTAAACCTATAGATCCATAGACCTACAGATCCACAAACCCATCGATCCGTAGATTTATAGATCTATACCAGAGGGTACATATAGATAATGCCACGATCCGGGGCTCGTCCCTACAGCCGGGCTCAGGTTGTCCCGGCTCTATGCAGCAGAACCGTACCCAGCCCCGGTGCAGACCCCTCCGACCGCCCTCGCAGGGCACACAGATCCTCCCGACTCGAAATAACAACAGAAATCCTTTAAAAATACCCCTGCACTTTTGGCGCATTTACCCATCCATCTATTTACCCGTTCATCCGCCGGCTGCGTTCACCCAATTATTCTTTTCCCCTCGCTGAAACATTTCCCTCCTGCTTCATTTCCTCCCTAAACATTTTATTTGCGTGTTTGTGTGCGCGATTTTTAAACAATTCTCAGCTCTGTCCCGCGGAGCAACTTGGAAATGAGTTCTCCCTCCGTCCCCAGCCCCGATCTCTCTCGCTGTTCGCATCCACCGTTCCCATGCGGGAGAAAACGGCCCCGCAGCGGCCGCTGATCGCCCCCCGGGTGAGGAGCAGCGTGGGAAGGACGCGGTTCGTTGCCCGGAGCGCCGTCCGGCTCCGTTTCGTTTGCAGCGCCGTGATTTCTTTTCGGGAGGTCGCTCCCCGAAATCACAGCGATTCACTTCGAGATTTTACTTCTTTATTTATCGATTTCTTCGTTAATTGATTGAGCGATTTTCCCCGCGCTCCGCCGCATCCCCAACTTCTGCTTTCGTTTTTAATTATAATGATTAAGATATATAAATGTTTGGGGAGGGTACGACAAGAGCTCAGCTTCCCCCAACCTCCCCTCCCGTCCGCTCCTTTGCCCCCGCAGCGTTTTCGATGCTCGGCGCTGCGGGGCTTTGCCCGCACAGGGACGTGGGTCCGGGTTCTGCTTTTTTTTTGGCTCTGTTTTTTTTTGTCATTTGGAAAGGCAAAGCCAAAGGCGCTCCTTGAGATCTCTGCTCCTGGCGGTGCTGCTCGCAGAGCTGTAACCGTTTTCCATCAAAATCCTTCTCTTTTTTCTTTAAATAAAATTAAAGAAAGAGGTGATGTGCGCTAGAAATTCAACACAGGGCTTCTCCGGTAGGGGAAATCCGGGAAATCTTGTATGGAGAAGAGAGATAGACGGGAATCCAAGCCAGGCACAATTGGGCAGGCGGCTGCTTTGGGAAGAAAAAAAAAAAAAAAAAAAAGGACACATCGATGCATTCAATTCTGTCTCCTTTCTCGGCACACCGATAGCCCCCCCCACACACACACATTTACTCACAGGCACACAGAGGGACAGAAATCACGTTGTATATTTAGACAGGAGTGTATCTAGGTGTTTATATGCCACACACGTTCCTGCAAGCGTCCAACAGGTTTTAAGCCCCATCTGGATGCAGCGTTTGTATTTAGGCATATATAACCTCAATGGAAACATTCCAATTAATTCCCCGGCGTGCAAAAAAAACCAAAAAACAAAAAAAAACAACCCTAAAGTATACATCTTTGCACTGCACGAAGCGCTGCTGTTGCTTCTATTTGCCTGCACTGCCCTTCTGTCCGTGGCTATTAGTTCTATTATTTCCATAGGTGCTCATAAGTGTGTTCCTGGTCTGACCGCCCCAATCTCTCCCAGCCACATTTCCAGCTGCTCTGGAGTCCACATTTTGGGTTCAATGGGACTGCGGGAGCCCCTGGGAGCTGCTCCAGAGCTGGGATACAATTCCCATAAATCGCTTCCCCCCCCCACCTTCTCACTTTTTTTCCTCCCTTTGCTTCCTGAACCTAAAGAGAAGAAACCTCTTTTGGATGGAGATTTCTAATTCCTTCTTTCTGAGCCCCCAGATCCTTTGCCATCACCCAGCTCTTGCTTCTCCCTGCTCAGAGCCCAACATTTAGGGGTACATGGGAGCCCTCCCCCCAAGTGCATCACAAACCCAGGGTTCTGGTTTCTATATGCCTGGGAACTCATGGGTGTGGGTCTTAGGGAATATTCAGGGTATGAGCATCATTCTCAGGGAGCAGAGATCCCCAGACCCCGGTGGGACCCCCTCCATTGAGCTGCCCCACATTCTCCCACTAAACCTTTAGATCCAGTGGCCTCTGCCAGACATTGGGACAGCAGCTTGGAGAAATTCCCTTGACTGTCCCAAATGAACAGTGTCATTCCAAAACAGATTGGGGTGCTGGTTGCCCTGTACCCCCACCTTGTCCCCTCTGCGAAGTGGGCACCATTTGGGTGCATGGAAAGGTTGGATTTTGCCTGGCTGTGCAATCATGCCCATGCTTTGATTTCATTATTTTATTCTCCCCCCCCCCCCC